ATCCATTTTGTCCACGTAAAGCCCCCACAGCTGCCCCCAGGCTATACCTCAAAACCCTTGCTGATGGTTCATGGCTGGCCCGGCTCCTTCTATGAGTTTTATAAGATCATCCCGCTCCTGACGGACCCCAAGAGCCACGGTTTAAGTGATGAACATGTGTTTGAAGTCATCTGTCCCTCCATCCCTGGATACGGCTTCTCAGAGGCATCCAGCAAGAAGGGTAAGAATCTGCCAGAGTCTCAGGACATCCTGTCCTACCAAGCATGGCCTGGACTTCCCACCTGGCTCTTGGGGACGATGAGACAGGAGGCACCTGAGAGGCATTCTTGTGCTGAAGGGCCAGCTTGTCTGGGATCTGGCCTGAGGCCTTTCCAGGCCAGCAAGGCTACTGGAGGCCTGCAGAGCAGTACTGTCTGCTCACTGCCTAATCTGAGGCAGGTGCTTACCATGTAGTGTCATGCTGGGTCTTTTGCCTGTGGGGAGCTGACCTCACCAGTGGAGGAATAGAGTCTGAGGAGTTAATGGGGCACCCCATACTCTGTGAGTGACTTCCCTATGACTCCATTTTTCTCTTCTTACAACCAGGCCTGGACACAGTGGCCACAGCCAGGATCTTTTACAAGCTGATGCTGCGGCTGGGCTTCCAAGAGTTCTACATTCAGGGAGGAGACTGGGGGTCCCTGGTCTGCACCAACATGGCCCAACTGGTACCCAGGTGAGGTCCCATCAGTAACACCAAGAGGATACGCTGCTGGGCACAGCTGCTTGCAATGGCACTGCCAGGCAGCAATTGACCTGGCCCCATGTACCAAAGGCCGTCCAGGTGGGGAAAGCAGAAAGGCTGCCCCCACTGGACTCTGCTCTCACCTGTGTCTGACCATCTCCCTCAATGCAAGCCCAACCTCATCTGCTGCTCTGTGCCCTCAGCCACGTGAAAGGCCTGCACCTGAATATGGCATTTATTGTGAGAAATACCTACACTCTGAGCCTTCTCCTGGGTCAGCGTTTTGGGAGGCTTCTTGGCTATACTGAGAAAGATATAGAACGGATCTACCCTTTGAAGGAAAAGGTTTTCTACAGCATCTTGAGGGAGAGTGGCTACATGCACATCCAAGCCACCAAGCCGGACACTGTAGGTGAGCACCCAGGGGTGGGGGACTTCATGGTCTGCAAGAAACTGCTCACAGGTGAAAACCCCTGTAAGAGACTCTGAGAGCTTTAAACCCCTAATGGCATTCCCCTGGAGAAGTGAGTTTGCATGTGGCCATCCAGTTCCAGGCTAATCCAGCTGTTCAGCTGATACAGGATTTGCAGTGGCTTTGATTCCTGACCCCTCACCCCCACTCCCAGCCTGTGTTATGCTGAGCATTAAGAATAACAGGGAAGGAGGCAGCAGGGGGCAGAGAAACCTGGCTCTGCACAGCTTGTGGGGATAGGACAAAGGGAATGTATGGCCAGGGACTACAGGACTTCTTTACAACAGTGAGGAGGCCCGGCAACTACTTCTGCCACCAGGATCCTGTTGAAACCCAGTTTTTCAAAAAGCTAAAAACTGATTCTTATGCATATATAAAATGAACACATCCAAGATCTTATTGAACTCATGAACTCATAAACTAATTGGTAAAATGTTACAAAACAGTAAATATTCAGAGGCAAGTAAGAAAACAGTTTAATTTGCTAATGGAGGCAGAACTCATCCACATCCACAAAGTAATCCATATCCAGTGGATAAAGCTCAGTTGTTCTTCTGTGGACAGGAATCATTTGTATCACTCCCAGGGTTATATATAACTGACAGCTGTAAAGACAAGGGAAGACAGAGAGCTAGAGGAACAGATGATCCCAGAAGTGCCCACTGGCTCAGCTCTAGGTCTTACTGGCCAGTTCCTGAAGACATTGTGCCCATGCCAAAGTCTTTCCTAGTTTTCATGGAAAATCCTAGAGTCTCTCACATGAGGCAGCTCATGAGCACAGTAGCACCTTATAAAATATTTTTTTGTTCCAGTTATAAAGTATATATTCATTGTAAAACATTTTAAAATACAAGAAGCATAGAGCAGAGGGGAAAATCACCTGTAAATTCTCATTCCTCCCTGAAAAAACAAAAACCTCACCCCCCCTCCCCAACAAAGAAAAAAAATGACCCTCTTCTTTATAACCAGCATTGGGGGCTTGGCAGAGTTGTGACTCAGTGGTAAAGTACTTTACATGGATGAGACCCTGGGTTTAATTTCCATCACTGTTAAATAAAGTAAAGGCCCAATTCCTATATGTTTCCTACTCAGTTCTCACAAGATCTCAGAGTGGTAGTTCTTTCAGTCTGAACAAAGCTAAGCCTGTACTGTGTGAGACATCACCAGATCTGGGAAGGATTATCTTGGTTCACCTCAGGCGCAGAGGCTGGAGGCTGAGAAGCAGGGTGTGCGAAGCTGAGTTAGGGCAGGTGATCTGCATGCCTGAGTCTTGCTGTGCGTCTTCCCACACAGGCTGTGCTCTGAATGACTCTCCAGTGGGACTGGCTGCTTATATCCTGGAGAAGTTTTCCACCTGGACCAATCCAGAATTCCGGGATCTGGAGGATGGAGGCCTGGAGAGGTGAAGCCCCTCGTCCACCCCTCAACCTCCTTTTCATCCTCTTCCCCTGGTGCTTTTGGTAGGGTGGCCACCAGTGTCATGGGCTTTCCTACAAACCTTAACTCCTTGGCTATCATGGTCACATATGGAGGTGTGGAGGCGCTCGAATCTGGTGACCTGCTCCAAGCCTCACAGCATGGGCAATGAGGAATAGTAGCAGTACAGGGTACCCACGGGTAGTGCCCCCTGAGGTCTGGGCCTCTTTCCCCAAGCCCCTGGTAGCCCAGCTGTGTGCTGTGAGGGGCCCATTAGAAGGAGGATGGGCAGGCTGCAGCCTCTGCAGTGCCTGACTCCAACTCCCTGCCTGACTTAGGCTTTGTCACACCTAGAGCCAGTGGCTCTGGAGAGGGAGGCTCCTGCAGCATCTGGCTAGCCTCATCATTCCTGGGCTCGATACTCCAGGCATGAGACTGTGTAGTACTCTGCCTGTTGTGTGCTGTTCCTGCCTCAGCCTGGCTTCCCACTGTGCTTCCCAGGAAGTTCTCCCTGGATGATCTGTTAACCAACATCATGCTCTACTGGACAACAGGAACCATAATACCTTCCCAGCGCTACTACAAGGAGAATTTGGGTCAGGGTATAATGACCCAGAAGCATGAGACGTGAGTGTGACTGGCAGTGTGGGGTAGCCAGGGTTATAACTTGGACAGAGCTGGGGGATCTGGGAAAGTAGCAAAGGCTGGTGCCCACAGGTGGCCCAGCTCCTGCCAGGAAAAAGAGGTGCCCAGAAAGATGGAGCTAATGGAGGGCAGACCGCCAATGGCAGCCCCAGTTGGCCTTTTTTGTGTGGCTGCATGTGACTCTCAGACTCCTCTGTGGCCCCATGTCCTTCTAGGATGAAGGTCTTCGTGCCCACTGGCTTTGCTGCCTTCCCCTGTGAGTTACTACATGCCCCTGAGAGGTTGATAAGGACCAAGTACCCCAAGCTCCTCTCCTACTCCTACATGGACCGTGGAGGCCACTTCGCTGCCCTGGAGGAGCCCAAGCTGCTGGCTCAGGACATCCGCAAGTTTGTGACTTTGGTGGAGCGACAGTGACCTACTGGATAGAGTGTGGCCTCCATAGCCACCACCTGTCTTGCTTGCTTTTGGGGTTGCTGATCTGAACCCCAACCATAAGCCTGGGGGCTCAGGCCCACTCTAACCTCACCCCATTTCCCTGTGAAGCCACATGCTTGGATGATAAATGTTACTTTTCAGAACTGCTGGAGACAAATGAAATGCAGTGCTCCCCTTCCTAGGAACAGTTGTCTGCACCAGGGTTTTGCATTTTCTGGGGACCCTAAGTGGAAGGGGGTGCCTTCATAGCCTCCACTGTCTGACTAGGAGCAGCGGGGCCACGGTAGCAGGAGGGATCTAGGGTCAGGCCACAGGGCTGCAGGGTGTGGCCTGACAAGGATCCAGAGTCTGGGTGGAGAGTGGGGCCTTGTGATTCCCCTGTCCCTTTCCCATCCCACATACGCCTCGGCCTCAGCCACCTATCCAGCTTGGCCAGGATGTAGACAAAGTAAAGGTTGTGCCAGTCCATCATGTGCCTGAGCAGGACGTAGATGAGGCTCAGAGGTGGGCTGTCAGTGGGTGGCTGATGGGGCACAGGACCTAAGCCCCTTCCCTTGGAGAGAGGTAGGGGTGTGGGGTTGAGCAAAGTTGGACCTCAGGCAATGGCAGCCTGTGATTCTGTCCTGGACAGTTGAGTCCCTGGCCTGGCCAGGAGTCACTTCTCTGCCCTGAAGAAGCCTGAGCTATTGACCCAGGACATCCACACATTTGTGACACAGATGAAGAGTGACCAGCAGGGTAGAGTGTGACCTCCCCAGCTACTGTTCTTGGGGCAGCTACCCTTAAACTTGAACCCTAAGCCTTGGGGGTGCAGGCTCACCCCACCTCGTTAAGCCACGTTTGGACAATAAATGATGTCATTTCTCAGCCTTGGGAGCCAAATGGCATGTGATGCCATAGGCCACCCAATGGGGCACCCCTTCCAGGGGATAACTGTCTGTGCTGGGGTCCCACCCAGTCCAGTGACCTCAAAAAGGTAGCACCATTTTCTCCTCCCCTATCCAGCTTGGAGCAGCTGGCAGCTAGGAAGGCTGGAGGGACCAGGGGCCAAGTATGTGGGGTGTGGGGTATATATGGGCAGGGACATGGAGTCAGGTGGACCGTGGGCTACATGAAAGTACTGTGCCTTTCCATACCCAGACCAGACTCTGGCCCTGTGCCTTCATCACCCCCACCCTCTGCAGGCCACAGGGAGACTTTTGGACAAAAGTCCATAGTGGCGATTGCCTTCTAATCTAGCCAGGCCCACACCATCTCCAACTTTAACCCAGCACTGCCTAGGGTAGAACACAGTTGACTACCAGCCTCAGCCAAAGGTACTTTATTAATACTTTTCACCCTGCAGCAGGGTGACCCAGGTCCCATGACAGAGCCCTCAGTGATGGGACATAGGCCATGGTCAGATTGCACAGGCACTGACCACTGCTGTGGGAGGACACCTGATATTCCCTTTGGCCAACATCATTTTTCAAGACCAATTTGGGACATAAACTTCTAACACATGATGTTGCTTTGGAACCTGGAGGACCGCCCCAGCCACAGAGCTGAAGAACAGTGGCAGGGCTTGGGGGAAAGAGGCAGGCCCACCTCCACAAACCCTAATGGAAGCCCAGTCCTGGTTGGTCTGCAGATAAGGTCTTCACAGGTAGTCTCTAGTACAGGGAGTGATAACTGCACTTTCTTCTGGGCTACAGGCAGTGCCCAGGTTAGGGAGGTTCCCAGAGACATGGTAGATGGTGCCATAGGTCTACTGCTGTTGCAAGGATAGAACTTCAGGTTCTGGAGACTGTCCAAGTGGTAGACCTGGAAGTGGGAGTCCAGGAAGGGGGTTCACTTCCTGCACTGGTCCGCTGGCAGGCTGGTCCTACTCTGGGACTCAGCCAGCTCTGCTCTGAAGACAGTGACTTCACATATGGCTTGCCACGGTGGTAGAAGGAATCACACTTTCCTCTGGGGTGTGGGCCATGTCTTGGATGGGAAGGTTCCCACTGATATCACTGATGGTGCCATAGGTCTGCTGCTGCTGCAGGTTTATCAAGGCTGTCCTCTCTGAAGCCAGACTACTCAGGATCCGGGGCACATAGGGCTGCCAGCAAATGGGAGTTAGTGCTACCCAACATATGCCACCCACAGAACTTCTCAAATGCCCAAGAGACACAGAAAACACACCACAACCTGGTCCTAGTCCTTGTGATCACACAGAAGGCAACGCAACAGAGAAGCTTCCTCCAATTCCAAGCACAGGATTGTAGAATCTTTCACTTTACACAGGGAATAAGTCTGTCTACACTGGCCTTGTAAATGGTATTTCCTCCCAATCCCTGTGGCAGCTGCCTTGGCTGGGCCCTGAGCCTGCCATGCTCCTCCTAGAGGGGTTTAAACTCTTCCTTTGTCCTGCCTTTCCCTGGACTGGGGATCCAGAATCTTGTCCTCTTGGGCTTGCCCAGGATGGGCACTGATGAGTGTGCCCAACACTGCAGAGAAGGCCAGTCCCATCCTAGCTTCACATCCCGTGACTCTAGTACCCACTTCCCAGGACCAGGACCCCAGAGGCCAGAGGCAGGGAAAAGCAAGGAGTTTGTTTGGAGCATTCTGGCACCATTGAGGGCCCCACAGGGCAACTGAGTGGATGCTGATAAAGCCTCAACTCACAAGCATCAGGAGTGCAGAAAAAGAAGCTAGTAGAGGCTGGCCTCAGAGTGGGCACACAGTGGAGAGACTAGTCACCTCGTCAAAGAATGACAAGGTTAAGATATCCAGGTTGGGGCTGAGGGGTGCAGCACTAAGCCAGCATGTTCAAGGCCTGAATTTGATGCCCAGTGCTGAAGGAAAAAAAAAAAAAAGATTCAGAGGAGGGGATTCCTTCTCCATTGATACTAATTCAGAAACATGCCTGCCTGCTCTGTGATCAGAGGTCCTCTCTTTTAGCAAAGGATGGGCAGACACGTGAGACTTTTACCCCCAGAGCAGCAAGGGCAGCAAGCAGTGGGCAAGCAGCACGGCTTACTGTGAATGGTGGAGACTCCTGGGCCTCTGCATCACTTCTTTCCTGGATTGCAGATTCTTCTGTCTGTAGATAACAGCGAAGAGGTGCACCATGAAAGTAAGTGATCTCCCTGAACTCACACTCTCCAAGCAGAGGGACAATTTGACATCAGAACAATAGCACCAGCTGGTTCTGAGTTCCCAGCTGGGCTGGAGTGAGTGAGCAAGACAGGGAGGGAAGTGCCACATCACATCCAAGTACCCTTGCCTTTCCCAGGGAGGGGCAGATCTGGAGAGGGCTGCTGCTGTTTGTTTTGACTCAGGAAGGGGTGGGGACACCATGGTCTCCTTGGATCCTGTACCTTGTAGTACAGAGGGATGAGGTGCTGGAAGCAGCCAAAGCAGGTGTAGGCCATGCAGGCCAGGATGGTGAGCAGCACGACCAGGAGGGTGAACAGGGTAGCAGGGGCCTGCAGACCTGAGGAGAGAGATGCTGGTCTTGGGGCTGGGGTGGGGCTATCTGCTGTGGGAGTGAGCCCTCCCCGACAAGCCCTAGCCCTGCCCAGCCTCATCTAGCAGTCAGAATAGGGTCCCTACAGCTGGGAGTGGAGGGGACTCACAGGTCTTCTGCTTTTTTGTGTTTTCTTGAGTGTCCTTGGCCCTCTGCCTCTTCCATCCCCTTCACACTGTAGACAGTGAAGTCAAGGACTACCCAGCACCCTTAAAAGCAATCTAGACCAGCTTCCCTTCTTTGGCTCGGTCCCGAGAGCTGTCTTCAGCCTGGTACATGTCTGGGGAGGACCTGCTGGCGTGCTGGTCGTGGACACCACACACCCAGCCCTTGCCTGGGCGCCATAGTACTTGATGACTGGCTGCCACGGTGGATGTGGGACTATGAGACAGAGGGCTGAACCTGTTCATAAGGGCACGCACCCAGGCGCAGGAAGGAGAAGAAGAAGAGCCAGAAGAGGCAGAGGATGGGTGCAGCCAAGGCCTGGTTCACGGCAGCGAAGTGTAGCCTCTTCTCCAGCTTGGCCGGCAGATACACGAAGTAGAGGTTGTGCCGGTCCACCATGTGCTTGAGTAGGATGTAGATGAGGCCTGTGAAGGTGGGCTGTGAGTGGGTGGACTGAACTCACCCTCTTAACAGAGAGCCCACCTGACACTAGAACAACAGCACCAGCTGAGTCTGAGCTCCCAGTGGGTGGGGTGTGTGTGCAAGAGGCAGAGGTAGGAGGGAAGTGCCACACCACACCCAAGGACCCCTGCCTTCCCTGGGGAGGACCTGTGAAGGTGGGTTGTGAGTGGGTGGCTGCCTGCTCTTGGAGGGCAGCTAGTCTGCATGGAGTTAGGGGTTGGGAGTGCTGAGCAAAGTCTGAGGCTAAATTAGACAAAAGTGTATCGTGACTGCTGGCTGTTCTCCCTCTCTCCTCACCTCCTTCTTCACTTCTCCCTGACTCTGAGGGAATGGGAGCTCCTGTGTTTCTGCCCTGGACCATACAGTACCTGGCCCAGACCTGCTTGCCTCCCATACTGAGCCAGCCCTCAGCACTCACTTCCCACACTTCGGTCTCCTCATATTGTAAGGAGCCCAAGGCTCTGACCAAGCAGGGCATAAAGGTAGGTGATGGCTTTCTGGTTTTTCCAGGCCTGGGGGGATTGAGCCCAGGGCCTGGCATGTGCTCAGCAATGCACCACTGCGCTGCCTCAGCCCTGCTGGCTGAGGTAGAACCAGCAGCAGCAGCAAGACAGTGCTGGTGTAGGGTGCAAGCTTGCAGGCAGGGGCTGGTGGAGCTCCACAGCAGGGGGCTTAATGAGCATGTGTGGAGTGCTCAGGTGGAACCCTAGCATGCACACAAAGCCAGCAATGACCCAGTAACAGTGCTAGCCCACAGAAGCACTAAGGGAGATCACACTTTAAGGCCACAGACAGAGTTCGCTCAGGCAGAAGGTAAGGTTTAGTGCCATATGTTTCCCTAGCAGCAGTGGTTGCAGTGGCCACAAGGGTCTGCTGAACCATGAAGCTATCCCTGAGAGCGGGTGGAGGCAGCTGTCTGTGTGCATACGCACGAGGGCCACTCACCGAACGGCACGATAATGGGGCAGGTGATGCTGTAGGCCATGACGACAGTGAAGATGCACAGCATCCAAGCGTACCTGGCTCCAAACTCGAACTGGTAGGCCTGGTTCTGGGAGCAGGAGGTTGTGAGGCAAGAGACCCTCAGCCACCCTCTGGGGAGGCATTGGGGCCCCTGGCCAGCCCATGGCAGATTCTCAAGTCTGTGCCCAGAGCACAGGCAGGTAGCAGATACTCAGGCCTCTCCCAAGGTGGCAGAATGTTCAGAGAGGCGTCTAGGAGGGGACACTGTACACAGTCATATGTCTAGGACAGGGCACAGTGTGCCCACTCAGGTCTCCAGGGCACAGGGATTGGAGTCAGCTGCCTTGAGGCAGAGCTAGACTAGGGACAGCTGTAGAGAGATTCCTGGACTTGGCATCACACGAAACACCAGCTCATCCTCTTCTGGCCATGTGTCCTCAACCGGTTTATTTTGTGCCTCTGTGAAACAGGAACACTAGTGCTGCTGGTCTCCTAAGGGGGCCCTGAAGAGTAAATGGATTAAACGTGCCTCTCTCACGGCACCTACCAAGGCAGAGGGAGTAAGAGGCCCCCATGCCCTCTAATTTAGGGAGTGCTGGAACAAATGTTACCAATTCAAAATGCCTTTGATACCTGGCTCTGCTAAGAACACATGCAAATGGATGTGTTCCATGGAAAGGCTTGTCCTTTCTTCATGCTGGGGATGGAACCCAGGGCCTGGTGCTTCCTAAGCAATGTTCTATCAGTGAGCACCAGTGTGGCCCAGAAACTGGGGACCCTAGGTGTCTGCATGTATGGATGTAGCCAAACTGGTCACAATGCAAAAGCCCCAAGCTCTCTCCTCCATCCCTCGTGAAGGAGCCATGTTGTTGAGAAGCTTCCAGCAGAGATGGCCCTGGTCTAGGTGCAAGAAGCAGGGATGGGCAAAACTTGAGCTGTGTAGAGCTGAGCGGCTTGGGGATCGGAAGGAGTCAGAGGCGTCACCTGCTTGATGTTCCTGCGATCAGCAGCCGTGCTGGCCATAACCATGCGGAAGGTGTAGACGATGAGACCTGGCAGCCGCAGCAGCTCCATACCATTGCCGATGAAGGCTGAGGCGATCACATAGTTCACGAAGAAGGCCCCCTGGTCTGGCAGGAAGACACACCTGGTGACAGGGCCAGTGTGTGAGCCTCTTCCTCCACTGAGGAGAGGCACACACCTGAAAGACTGTGCTTCTACACATACTCTGAGGGACACAGACACACACACACTGTGCATGGCCACAGCTCAGAGCAACCCAGAAGGCAGGTGGCACTCAAGTGTCCATATGGGGTCAGGGGAGCCTCCCTTATGAGGTGACAGCAGGGACACAAAGAAAGCTCTCAAGGCCCCAGGGAACATGGGTGTAGACAATGGCACATCTGAGGAGTGGCATGGCTGGCCCTTTCACGGAACACACTGAGGCAGATGGGGAAGGTGGCACTGAGTGTGAAAGGTTGGGGTTCCTCTTGGAGCAAGGGAATACACTGAAGTGAGAGTTGAGGGCAGGAGATCATTCAGTTGGCTTCATGCTGGCCTGAGTTCCCCAGGCAGAGGTGTGGTGGAGGTGGAGAGGTGTGGGCAGGGTTTGGATAGCCTCAGAGACAGAGCTGTGGGTTTTGCTGATGGACAGGGTGTGGTGTGGAGGGAAAGGAAGGGGACCCTGTCAACTGCAAGGCTCTCCACAGAGCAACTAGATATTGTGGAAGGAGGCATGGTTGGAGGATCATGCCTGGACAGAAAGCTGGCATTTGGGGAAGGACATCTGCAGTGTCTTGGCAGGGCTCCATCTGAGTCAGAGGCAGGACAGTCATCAGGGGCAGGTAGGGTGACACAATGGATGTGGTCTGCATGTGTTGGCTGCTGGCATCAAATTCAGGTTTGGCACACACTAAGCATGGACTCTGCCACTGCATCTATGGCTCCTTGTTGACATATTGTAATGCAGTAGCTCAGTGGCACTGGTGTCACAGTACAGCTGCAGTCACTGACAGCGATAAACCCAAAGACCCAGGGCTGAGCCCTCAGGGAGTAATATCTAGACCTGTGAGACTCAAAGTATCCCTAGAAGGCTAGGAATGAGGAGCCCAGGCTGACTGTCCACTGGGCAGATTCTCAGGAGGCTGACAGATTACAGAAAACAAGGAGGGCTGGCCTTTGGATCTGTTAATCAGGATGTCACTGTCCACCTGCAAAAGAGCTGGTTGAGAACATGTGTATTGGGCTGTGATTCCAGCTCCTCAGCCTTCAGTCTCCCCAGTTAAGAACTCATTTACAAAAATCCACACATTGGCACAGTAGGCATTGAGACTGCCCTGTAACTGTGTCCTTGGAAAACCAGTCCTGACCTCTAGCCTCTGTGAAGGCTGGATTTTAAGCTGTACTTATGTATTTCTGCTTCTTAACTATAGTGGCATACTAGTTCACAACGTAAATCTTTCAAAGATTCTGACTGTAAACTGATTTGGACAAGAACCCAATCATATTCAATGGTTAGTTAGGTTCAACATTGACCCAATGGGAAGTTTGATTTGATTCTTGTCCAACTTGGTTTGGGACCAGAAATGTGGAAAAAATTAAGCAAGCTAGCTCTGTAGCTGGGTAATCCTTGATGAGTCACTCATCATCTCCGAGCCTCAGTCACTCTGTCTCTAAATGGAGATGATATCACTGGCTACTTGATAGCCTACTGTAATGTTTAAAGGGAAAAAATTGTTTGAACTACTTAGCACAGTGGCTTCTTAAGCAAATGCTACTGCCACGATGTGGGCAAGGTATAATCTTACAAACACTAATGAGTGCACACAGGAGCCATCCTCCTCACAAAAATAATCACTAGACCAGATAGCTAGCTGTTCTGCAGCCATGTTCAATGACTCTTCTGCTTCAAGACTACCTGGCATCCCTGAGCCCAGGCACTTCTCACCTCTGTGGCTGTGCTTGTTAAGTTTCAAAGACTTGACAGTGTCGGTAATTGAGGTTTGTCCTAAAAATGGCCCATGTGCATTTGGCTCCTCTGGAATAGGGTAGCTTTGGTGCATGATGTCCGATCAGAAAGCTTGGTCTGAAGCACAACCACCATGGTATGTAACCAAGAAGGGCTCCAGGACCCGACTTGGCTTATACTTACTCCAACCTTATGGATCCCTCTGAGGAAGTGTTGTCGAAGAGCCACCGGAAGAAAAAATCCAGGCTGAAAAGCAAGCGAATCTTCTAAGAGTTTATTTCTTTCTTTTCTATCTTCCTGGACTTTCCCTCTGCCCTCTCTTACTTCTGTGGTGCTAAGGATGGAACACAGGGGTTGGTGCATGGTAGAGAAATGCTCTGATGCTGGGCGAAATCAAGTCTCAGAGTCTATTTCTAATACACCATGTGATCGCAACATATTCGCTTTTGTTCCACTATGAAAAGAGGCTGAATTTTGAAATCTACCATTGTTTTCTCTGATGTCACTTACATAGTGTGATTCACAGGGCAGCTTTCAGGGAATTGTCCTTCTTGAGTTAAACATAACTATGATTACACACTACGAAACTCTGCGTGTGTGTGTGTGTGTGTGTGTGTAGGAGAGGTCTTCAATAAACTTGTGTAAGCTAGCTCCCTACCTCAAGAAAGATCATATTTCTAGGACAATCCATAGGTCAGCACAACTGCACTCCCGCTGGTTACTACAGGCCCCAGACCTGTTTGCAAAACCATTTGCACTCCCTTGGTAGCAGTGCTCTACAGATGTGGCCCTGATTCTGAACCTAGAGCAGGAGATGGTGGGATATACCTGGTGAGGCCAAGGGAGGGCAGGATCAGCACCATGAAGATCAAGAATATGTAGACCTTGGTCATCATGTTCCAGTTTTCCCCCGACCTGCAGGAAGCCAGAGTGAGCACTCACAGTCCCAAATGCTCCAGGTGCCTAGTGAGGCCTGTCTTGCGCTCAAGGCCCCAGCTGTAGTCCAGAGTCCTCCAGGCTCAGCACTCACTTTGTCCAGTGACACTCCAGCAGCGTTGAGTAGTACACAATGGTGGGCAGCAGGGCTGCGAAGGACCAGAGGAGGAGGGTTGGGAAGAACTGGCTGATGATTGGGTTCTGGAAGACAAGGCCCAGCAGAGAGAGAGTGGGGGGTCTGTGGAGCATGGCACTGAGGCTGTGGTCTGTTAGGCCAGGGCTCAGCATCACGCGGGCACAGACATCAAATGTCAGCTGAAAAAACAATAGCACTTTATGGTACTATATAGCTCTTTAAATCAAAGAAAGCTCTTTCGGGTACAGTGCGCTGCACTTACGTGACAGACCAGATTGGGCAGGAGTCTTTACTTCTTATAGGAAACCAATGGCTAATATCTAGGGTCAACTGCATGCTTTGGCCAGGCTCCTCTCCATGCCAGTAGGCCAGCTGTACTTTTCTGCACTCTGTGGCCCCCAATCATGTTTATGCTGGTTCTAGCTGATATTGTCATTTTGTGATTTGATTAACTTAGTTCACATAACAATATATTCTCTTTGAAAGCTAAACTGGAGCGGGAGCTAACTCTGAGGTAGACTTGCCTAGCATGCTTATGACCCTAGGTTTGATGTCAAGCACCACAAAACAAAACTTAAAACACAAAAAACGAAAACCACATACTTTACCACTGAGCTCCGCCACCAGTCTAAATTCCTGCTTTGTTTTACAGAAAGACAAACTGGAATCACAAATGTGAAATAAGAATGTAGCTCATATAAAACAGACAAAGGGGAGCGAAGAAGCAGACCTTTTCCCTACTGGTGTGGTGGTGCAAGACTGGAATCTCAGTGCTCTGTGAGGATTCGGAAGGAGAACTGCAAGTCTGAGTCCAACATGGGGCACTTACTGACTTTGGGTCATCCCATCTCAAGATGAAAAATAAGCAGCACTAGAGACGTAGCTCAGTGCAAAGGCCCTTGGCTCAACCCTTAACGCTAGGGGAAAACAAAGAATTGGCACAGAAATGATGGCATTCTTGCTGCAAACTGAAATCTCACAGCTAATGCATAATTTAGCAATATTTACTATATAGTGAGTCAGATAAGGGTATCAACTACACGCTGGCTCAGAGATGTCACGTGACAGGTATTCTAAATCTAGTTCTGGGATAAAAACTCAGGCTAAGAATTTGTGAGTCAGGACCCGGGCCCCAGGGTGCCTTGCTGGAGGATCATTACCAAAGTACCAAGTGTAACGGGAAAGAATAACTGATTCACAGAGGCATTTCAACAAGGTTGTGAAGAGAAACCAATGTCTCTTTCTACATATGCTCATTTGCATTTGGTGTAGTTGTTGTCTCCTTGATTCACCTTAGCCTGTTTAGTTCTGTTTCTGAGATGGAGTCTTGCTGTGCTGTGTAGAACTCCTAAGCCTCCTGAGTAGCAGGGTTATAAGGGCACAGCACCATACCTAGCCTTCTAAGGTGCTTTGAAAACCATTCAATATTTATGCACAATAAATGAGTTCCTAAGAAGATTCTCAGAAACTGAAATACAAAAGAAATCATCCATACCTCCCCAATCAAGAAACATCTTCTCAGTCTTTCCCATCCCTTCTCCCTAGTGGCTAGCATACAGGTGTCACTGGCAATGTCACTAGACCCATTGCTCAGAGACTATTTTATAACCTGATGTAATTATAAGCCCCTTGTGTCTGTATACTGTCCTCAATGTTTAATATATGTTCAATATTTTATTGGACTAAAATACCTTGTTCATCTCAAAAGATCCTTACTTTTTAGTTTGATTGCATCAATTGAGCAGGTATATATTGCATTATTCTAAGGCACGGTAATAAACATGGTCATGCCTTCTTCTGCCTTAGAAGTTCAGATGAGCTGAGTGCTTGGGCCTTCTGGTTCAGGGTCCTGTAGGCCTCTGTCCCGTCCTCCCCAAACTCTAAGCCTTTTTCCTGCCAGTGTCACTCACGTTCAGCGCGTGGATGGGCTTGGTAACATTGAACTTATCCATAGTGGACAGGATGATGGAGGGTGTGGTCAGGAAAAAGAGCACCACGAAGAGGGTGAAGTTGATGCTGAACCACCGTAACCACCAATGGGGGCCCTGGATGGAGAGGTTCTGCCTGCAGAGAGGAAATGGCGCACAAGCTTCTGTCCCTGGAACAGGCCACCAGCACCAGCTGTACTGGAGCTGAGGTAGTCAGGTCTGATCCACACAGGCCAGAAGACTTTCCCAGGCATCTGGCTGGGGTTCATGCAGGACTTAGGGGGAAAGGTACATCCTCTGCACTGACCTTGTGCTACCACAAGGCCAATGTGTAGGTGGCAGCTACAGCCCAGCACACAGCCTCCCCAAAGTGATGCCACAAGACCCAAACTGAACAGACAGCTTCTGCATACCATTTCCTGGCTATCTGCAGGGCCATGTGCCTCCCATCACTTTCCTCCCAATAGGCCATGGGCTAGGGTCAAGGGGGAGACAGGCAGGGACAGTGGGGCATGAGCAGAGCTAGAGCCAGCCTTGGCCCCACATTTCCACCAGGAACTGACGGATACATCAGTCCCATGCTTGGGACACCCTGTGAAGCAATGAGCAAACCAGTCAGTGCTGAGCTCAAATTCAGTGGAGAGGAACCAAGGCAGCATGGGCAGGCAGCTGTGCCCAATCTCACTCATGCCCTTGACACAGCTCAGAGCACTGGCAGGTCCCCAGCCTGCCTTAAGGGCATGCTGTCAAATATGGCAGGTACAGGTGGCCATTCAGCACATGAGACATGGCTGGTGTACCTAAAAATGGTGAAAGATTTTGAACACTAAGTATTAAAAGGAGAATGTGGCTATGGCTGTGGCTGTAGCTTGGTGTTGAGCATCGGCCTGGCTTGTGTTCCATCCTCATACTACCAAGAAAAAAGAGGATTCCAATTCCATGCTAAAATATTAAAACTGGGATATGTGGGGAGACACTTATTATTATCTTTTCTTTTTTTGGTCTTTTTCCTTTTTATCGGTACCAGGGATCGAACTCATGACCACCTGCTTGCAAGGCAGGTGCTTATGCTACTGAGGTAAATCCCCAGCCCCTGATTTCCTTTCTTTGCTAACATGGTACAAGGAAATCTAAGTGATATACATACTCTGTACCCCCTGGGTTTATCCTGGACAGTACTGCCTGGTGGAGTAACATTCAGAGAAGCTCTGAATACCCCGGGTTGACCCAGAGCACCCCGGAAGCTCTGTGGAGATTTCCACTGAATGTAAAGTCACGCCTGGTATCCAGGTGACTGTTGGCCCCTGCAGGAGTCAGGCCACCCTCCATCCTGCCCACACTGACTCTCACCAGCAAATGTCCTGGGGGTAGGCAGCCAAGCTGACCCTCCACTTGGAGACGTGGAGCTCTCTGCTGTAGGTGGACGGCTGGGGTTCACCTTTACACTGACAGCTCTGACACTTGCAGGCTCTGAAATCCTTCAGGATGCTGCCAGGATGCAGAGACGAGAAGTCAGAGCCTGGGCCTGCTGCAGCCCTGTGCATAGGAATGGCACAGGCAGGGAACGTGCAGCCTTGGCTTCATTGCTGCTCTTTTTACAAAGCCGATTATATGCAGGAGAGGTCACGCTTAGCTCACAGGCCAGACTGCTTTGTCCCCACCATTCCCACAGACACGTCATATCTCTGCAGGTTCAGCAACCAGGTTGTGCATCAGTCTGTCTGCCTCTAGTTCCCAATCATGTGCATTTACACACTGCACCCTAAGAGGCTGATGTGACAATCTTTCTTCTTCTAGTCATGACCTTAGCTTCATTTTGCATATCTTGAGGCCCTGGAGCACTGTGGGCCCTCACAGTAAGACCCTGGAACCCCAATGAGTGCTAACATGGGGACCTAGAGCACCTATGGGTGTCCACAATGAAACCTTGGAGCCCTCCTGAGTCCTACAGGATGATCCACATGGTGCCAGTCAGGTGAGGGAGGCTGGACAGGTTGCACTCACTAGGTGGCCATAGACTTTTCTCGGAAGGTGACAAAGGCCATTCCCAAGGGTTGGTCTTGGACCTGGCACTCCTCCTCCGTGATCTTCTGCAGCAGCTTATTGTATAGGTGTGTGTAGTAGGCGATGGCATCCTCCTGCCAGGAGACACAGCTGTGGGTGACATGGTCCCGTGGGTCAGGAAACCTGAAGAAGGCCTTGTTGCTTACCTTCTTGCAGCCCCACAATTCACAACAGCAGAACTGGCCACATGGCTTGGGGTTGATGAGGGCCAGCTGGCCTGTCTTCTCTTGAAGGTTCGTGTAGTAGGCCAGGCTCTTCTCAGCCTTTTTTCTGTGGAAGTTGGAGAGGGTATGAATGGGCAGACTGCATGTCACAATCTGTAGATGCCCACATCACTTTGGCTATCAGCCTTCAACACAGTGTAGCGCTCCGCTCTAATTTCCCTCCTTCCCATGGCGAAGTCCAGCCTGGTCAGGAAGCTGGGAAAACTCAGGGCAGGGCCTTGTCTCTTACCTCTCCCCACACAGGTACATTAGCTTGGCCACGTTGTAGCACAGCTGGACATCAGCCACCTCACAAGTTGGGTATGCATCCCTGTGGCAGGATGGCAAATTGCAGCTGTGGGATGAAGCAGCCCAGGAGAAAAACCCCACTCACCTCCATGAGAGGATGTACACACTGCACTGTCTGTTTTGTGCTGTCAGTGTCCTCTGTTTCTCTTCTACTTATTCCCCAAGTGGGGGAATTTTGAAGTTTAATACAGACTTTTTTTTTTAGGGCTGTAGAAATGGATCCTAGGGTCTTGCTCTTGCTAAGCTAGCTCTCTACCTCTGAGTTAATTTCCAATCCCCCAAAGGCATCTTTGAATAGCATGAGGGGAAATGCATATATAGTGAGAAGCATATATATGCCCAGTCAGCTTTCCATCAGATGTACTGCTCACGGCTGAGGTCTAGCACAGTGGTATTCAATGGATCTTAGCTGTGGGTGTTATCCTCAGTTCCATGCTCATTATCCTCTCTAACCACTCAAAAGAAGAGATTTATTGTTCGTTCAGATTCAGTATCTATCTGTTTGAAGGTCAGAGATTTTTAGAATCTAAGACAGCAAGAGACCCTCAGCCCAGAAAATGTCTGTGTTCATTGTGAGAATCAACAAAGTACGTATGCTCTGGCTACTGGCTAGGTACTATTATATACATTTCCTTATACAACCTTGATCATAAATTGTAAGGTTTGGGACCATGAAGGCCCATGGTCACACAGTTGGTGAATGTCAGAGCCAGAAGCCAAAAAATCCAAGCAGCCCAGCTCTGAGGTCCATGTCAGCAGGTACCATGCAATGCCCATACCACACACAAAACTGGACACAGATTCCTGGGAATTCCAGAACCATGACAGTCTCCATGTAGTACTTTGTAGGCGTTTTTAGATCTGAGCCTTGTGAAGCTCACATTTCAGTGAGAGATCACACATACATGAGGTCCCAGTGAGGGGATTGGAGAACAGATGACAGATGACAGGATTCAGGGTGGCTAGAAAGGAGCTCTGGAAACAGAGCCAGAACCTTAGCTGATAGCTGCTGGAAAGAAAGAGGACCATCCCACTGACTGCCAAGGTCTTTCCTGGCTGTAGTCCAGTTCTTAGCTCTTTATTTGTGCAGAGCAAATACTCAGAACATGAGTGAAACATTTTCTTACCCATGTATTCTCAATGTGTTTACACACACTATAACTGAACCAACCTCTGGCACAGATCATGTTGAGTAGCACTGACTGTGAAAGACAGGCTACCTGGCTGGTCAGTTGGCCAGCACCTGAACCTGGCTGCTATTTGATACTCAGGTACAGAAGCCACATACCTTCAGATCTCACAGGAGTCTACCTATTGTCCCTGCCCTGTGGGACTCACTGCTGCACAGTGAGAGTGAGACCTTGAGACTCTGTTAGTCCCATTACCAGAAGTGCCTTTCCACATTCTCTTCTTTAGCATCTTTAGGGAGTCCAGTGATGAACAGGGTCCGTCTCACCTGCCAGAGAAACACATCTGGTCACAAAGTCACTGAGGCAAGTCCTTGCAAGTGGCCCAGGTTTTCCTCCAGGTGCAGTCTCCAGAAATCAAATAGAAGCCTGCAATTTATTGCCCCATGGCCTTGCAGGACATACAGCACGTTACTGTATTTACAGCCTTTGTCAGCTACAAACACTCCATCTCCAAAGCTCTGTGAGAATCCTTTGGGGGGACAGGAGGTGAGGGAACACCTAGAGAGTGACAGTGACTCAAATGGGCTGCCAGGAAGAGCAGAGGAGACTGGGGTTGGAGACATGACACAAAAAGAGGGGCTGGCCTCAGCCTCTGTGTCCCTTCTCTTCTGCTGTGCTGGGGCAGATTGAAGGCTGGACACACTGATCAAGCACTGCACCTCTGAGGTGACACAGGCCCTTAACCTAAACTTCCTTAGTCCAGTATAACCCCACAGATCAAAGAGTGAGTTACAGAATGTGGGGCAAATGTTCAAATCTTAAAACAATCCATTAGATGACTAAAAAACAAAAGATGATGCCAAGTGAAGCTCAATATGCAAACCAGGCTACAGGGTCTGCTGAGCATGTGTAGGGCCCTGAAGTCCTACCCCAACTCACCAGGGTCTCCTCTGTGTACTTGATGGACTGGGTGTGGTGCCGCATGAAGGCCACTGTGAGGGAGAGGTAGATGACAGCAAGGACAGCATGCAGCCAGAGGAGGTCATTCCTGAGGGGACAGAGGAGGCAGGACCAATGGTTCTACTATAGCAGATGGCTACAAAGGCTCAGTGAATACCAAAGAAAGGCCGGGACCCACTGGCCTTCCTGTACCCTAAGACCTCTGTAATGCCCACAGACTGGGTGCCCAATGGCTGGGAAGGTGTCCAGACACCAGTATGGCCATCCTGGCCTGTGCACCTATCTGCCACCTCTGTTTCCTTGTCGATTCTCCCCTCCACAATACTCTACCAGGACCCACACTCACTTGGTCTCCAGGTTTGCTATGGTTGTCCTTCCAAAACTGTAGGGGTCTTTGTCTGTGGAAAAGCACAGAAATGAAGTTCTAGGGCCATGATGGGGAAGGAGCACAACTGTGTTGGCTGAGAGAGCTCTGGGGAGGTGGAAGACAGTGCCCAGACTAGTGAGGACATTTGACACTCATGATCCTTTTGGAGGTGCATGTAGGGCCACTGTTGGGCTCCAGGGTGCTCCTTGAGAACTTTTCAACTTGTCACACTAAGGCATACTTGCCACTCACATTCTTCTACATTGGAGGTTTTTTTTCTTTTCTTTTCTTTTCTTTTTTTTTTTTTTTTTGCTTTGATAAAACTCAAAATATCCTAAGCTGTTAAGCTATGTAATCACTAGGCATGCAAATGAGTTTGCAGTGGCACTGGGAAGTGGGGAGATACAATTCCACACACTGATGTTAACTGAGCATCACAGACATCCTCCTGGCCCAGAAACTGTGGCTCTCTGAGTTGGGTGAGAATAGGAAAACATAAACCACCATCTGAAACTACTTCAACCTCTGGGTTTTAGAAATCCTGTTTAGATATAACCAGAAAGTGGTCTTGGGGTCCCAGTTGTAATCCTGGGTTTGGAGCTCATTCTCCTCCAGATCTTTACTCAGTGACAAGGACCTTGTCAGTCATCCCAAGACTGTCTCCCAACTGGAACGGGGCTTAACTCAGGGGCTCCACTTTACTACAATGAGCCTCCATTGCCCCCTTCCAATACACAGATATGAGGATGGACCATTACCCAGCAGGTCTCCTGAGAGGTTCACAGGCAGGATGATGCACAGGGATAAGGCACTGACTGCCACCAGCAGGAAGATGAGATGCCTCTGGAAGGACAGGTAGTGGATAGCATCTTGCCCACACCACTCCAGGATTTGGTCATCACTAGTCAATATACACAGAAGAAATTGTTATAGCAGGCAAGATTATTTGATCTAAACTTCACAGCAATCCTAGGAGACTGTGGGCTATCATTTCTCCTTTTTTGATTTTTTTAGAAATAAAGATCCAGAAAGACTGTCCACACTCACGGTCCCTAGACCATCCTGGAGGCTCAGGATGGGCCACTTGCTACCTTCTGGCACTTGGTACATCTGTGTGACCGTAAAGATCTGGGTGCTTGGAGATGGGCAGCCCACAACCCTTCTTAATTCTAGAGGAACAGAGCAGGGAGAACTGCCTTTGGAATACAGCTCAGGTATGAGGCCTGTGGCCACCTTCTTTCCATCTCCCCTGCAGGTAAGTCTGTGCTCTAGTCATTCAAATGTCAGTGTTCCTAATTATTCCTGCTTCCTTCCAGGTCCTCGCCATGGCCCCAGAGATGGAGGTGGCCTGCTCCAAGCTCCCTATCTATGAAGTGTTGTGTGAGGAAGTGCTGTGTCCACCAGGGTGTGGATACTCATGTCTCACACAGCCCCTGCTAGAGGGGAAGGGGCTATGCTCCTTCATCCTTTCTACATGTGGCTTCCCTGCTGTGCAAGAGGTGAGACAAGAGAGTAGCCCCTTCTCCTGCCTCTGTTCAAACTGCCTACCTCCCTCACTGTCTAGCAGGCTAAAGAAGTGAGCAGACACTCAATGCTGTGCCTGGCCAAGAAGATGCTCAGAAATGTGCCTGGGAATGGAAGTCCTGCCTGCTACTTCCCTTCAGGACAGAGCTATGTAGCATCTTCTCACTTAAATTAGCCACCCTCTCATGTGGCTAATTAACAGTCACTTTTATTCTGTTTCCACATAATGCCTGAGGAGCACACTTCTTGGCTTTGTCTGCTTGAATGGACAAGTGCATGGACAAGGCAGCCCAACCGAACCCGCCCACCCACAGTCACTGCTCCAGGTACTCACTGTAGACGGAAGATGGCCATCAGCCATGGGCAGCATCCCTGCAGACAAAGGGAGATTAGAATCCAGTAGCTGGAACCTGAGAGGCAGTTGGCTTTGAAATGAACTAACCACTAGCCTCCTGCTAGATAAACATAGTATTTCCATCCTTTATTGGCAAGCTGTCACTTGTCCAGATACCAGAGCCTGTTGACCCTGGGCCTTGGCAAAGCATGCCCTGTGCTTGGACCTTTCTCTGAACCTCTATATTCTGATAATGTGAGGCTTCCAATCATGAAACTAGGATCCAGAGTTGCTGAAGCTAAGTGTGCTCTGGAGATGGGGGCTGCTGTCCCATTGTTTCTAAAGGACCAGACTAAAGCGGGGATAAGGAGAGGAAACAAGCTTAATCAACTGGATGATGCCTTGCAATTAAGATGATGCCCTTAGTGAAACAGAAGGGTGAGTGTAGGTCTTACTGACCTTCACATCTTATAAAGTTTCTACTCTCTAAAGCTAGCCTGTTTATCCTGTTGGGAAAGAAAATACCTGTTCATCATTCAAGTATCTCAATTTGGATCCAACAATGACTAAGCACCTACTGGGTGGGTACCTGGTGCTGGGGAGAGGGCTAAGCCAGGCTATAGCAGACAGGACAAGGCAAAGCCACAAGGATAAGACACATACATGGGGGAGGCTGGATCTCCCAGCCCTCTCTGCCTATGAGTCATGACGTCTCTGAATGCCAGGTACACTGGCTGGGTCTCTCCTGGGTCCTTGTCACGTTCAGGGGCCTTTGTTGATGTGAAGGGGAACACTGTCCAGTTCTGGTCACTCCAATGTCACAGGGTACACCACCAACCACCACCCATCCCCGGCCCAGCCACGCCCCACTGCACCCTGGTTACCAACCAGCTCATTTTCAAAGTCTTGCTGCTCTGAGGAGGAAGATGACGACAATCTCTGCAATTTGTGCTTACTAGAGACACAAAACAAAAAAAGTGACCAACAAATGTGAAAAAATGAAGTTGGAAAAATTAGTCCAGTATTTTTCTGCCTAATCTGAGAACTCAGGATCAATTTTATCAAATCTCAGCGACTGGGACAAAAAAACAAATGACTGCATGAGAAATAAAGTATAAGTAATTTAAAGAGCAATATACTAGACACATGATAGGAAAGCGGGAGCTATCTGAGAGCTGGGAAGGGGCTTTGGGGGCGAGGGGAGACAGAAGGCAGGGAAGAGGAAGTAAACGGGTGAAGATGCAATACTGAGATGCACCAGTTCCCCGTGATAGATATTTTTATGTATCACAGACATATATGCTGAAAAAAGAAAGAGAAAACTAAAGAGTAAATATAAAAATAAGCTTCTAATTATCTGACAAGTTGTATTATTTGGTTTACTATTGAATTGCAAGTTTAGTTTTTTTGTTTTTGTTGTTGTTGCTGCTGTTTTTAGACATGGTCTTGCTACATAGTTCAGGCTGGCCTTGAACTTGCTATGTAGTCCAGGCTGTGCACAAACTCACCAAAATCCTCCTGCTCTGCCTTCTGAATTTTGGGATTACACGCCTGCACCAGCACATCCAGCTGCGAGGTTTATTTATTTTTTTGTATGTTGTGAAATTTTTCTTTCAGTTTGTGTCATATATATATATTTTTTTTTTCTCTCTTGGGTTGGTTTTGGTTTTCTTGAGACAGGGTCTTGCTGAATAGCTTGGGCTGGCACTGAGCTTACGTAACCCAGGATGGCCTTGGACTTGATGTGATCCTTGTACTTCAGCCTCTAAAATCCTGGTAATACAGGTGACTGCCACCACGCCTGGGCTTTTTCCTTTTCTTTCTTTTTTTTTTTTAAATAGTGTCTTTCAAGGAACAGAAGTTTTAAGTGTTGATAAAGTCCAAATTAATGATTTCTTTCAAATTTAAATATTAAAAAGATTAATTGCTTTAGGAAAAGAGATCCAAGTGGAGTAAAACTTCCACACAGGGCAGCAACAGGTCCAAAGACATCAGAAGATACTTCAAGCTGATATCTTTGGCCTCTGGGCTGGGATTAGGCCTGGGCTTCAAAACAAGGCTGTTCACAGCATATTTTCCAACACGGTAAGTCAAAATAGGACAAGGACTATTTTATCCTATTGTGGTGACCATGGATGATAAACAGTTGGATTTCAGAGAAGCAGCCTGAGAAATGGCTGTGGTATCCAAGGGAAGCAGCCCACTTGCAAATTACCCTCTTCTGACCCAGACGACAGAAAGGAAAATTAATAATACAAGACACCCATCAGGCTCTGTGAACAGAGTAAGTCCACTTAAAAATACTCTGTATATTATCAAGCCTAAGATATCAACGCTTGTCAGGCATATGATTTCATGAACCACTGACAAGAAAACAATCCTGTAATTAAAATATGACCACTACTGATAATAAGATGAGCCCCACTTCAGAGACAGATATGGCAGAACCCTCATTTGTGAGCTGATGCACTGTGACACTTTAAACAGTGGTACTTTAATCAGATCCTTTCCTCTGAACACCCTATAAAAGCACCTTGTGAAGTAGAGCTGCCTATGCTAGGCAGTTTGTGCTTTTCTCCTGCCTCTGGCTCCACCATCCTGCTTGCAACAGCATAAAACAGGAGGAATCGTAATTTTTGAAGCATTTACACACAGGTGAACAGCCACACCAAACGTGATGAGCCTGGAGTCTGACGAAGCTCAGGGCCTCCTAGTCTCACAAGCCCTTTCCCATGACAGCCTGTGCCTTGCTTGGCTTGGTGGCATCAGAAAGCATCAAATGTCCCAACAGGGGTGCCATGGTCCTAGGTCATAGCCCCAGGGTTCTACAAATCTCAGAGCAGAGACCTCCGCCCAGTCAGTGACTCCAAGTCAACTCCATGAGAGTGGTGGCCCTCATGCACCTCAGCAGCTCACCAAGGCCCTGGGAGCTGTTTCCTCCACTGAATGGGGCACAGGAAAGTGTGCAAGGCACTCTGTCTTTAGAGGAGGCAACCACGGCAGATGGGCAGGGAGGGAGGTTCACCTGGAGATGCACCCTCCCACACAGGTCCTGCCTGGGCATTCTGACACATTCCCACACATGCACACAGTCAGTCTAGGATGTCTTTTTACCTGTCTGCTTCTGATACCAGGGCAATGCGGCCATAATCCCAGAATCTTCTTCTTATGATGGAAAACGCCAAGATTAACAACTAAAAGCAGTAAAGAAATCAAGTAGAAATGCACTGCATAGGTTGAAAGGCAAAGTCCACCTACCCAAACCAAAGGAAATCACCTGGGCCCAGAGAGGTAATGGGGGTCTCCTCAGACCACACAGCTCAGTGGGCCAATCCTCCCCTTGCCTTTTTCACTGTCTCCCAAGTTGTGGCACTTAGCATGGGAGTATCCCAGGGCACACGTGTGAACTTGCCCTTTGCTTTAAGTCAGGACAGGTGCCATGAGGCCTGGTGGCAAGCCTGACCTATACAGTACCTCAAGTGGGAAAGCAAGATCTGGCCTTAAGCAGTCGCTCTTCTCCTCACACAGAGCTTTTTTTTAAATTAATGGGTCATTTTATTGCCCAGGGTGGCCTAAACTCTTGATCTCAAGAGATCCTCTTGCCTCAGGTGGAACTATAAGTGCACACCAACAATCCCAGTTTTAGAGCTTCATCTTATTATGATTATTCATTATTGTTATTATTTGAGTTTTTCTGAGACAGGGTCTCACTACGCAGTTCAGACTACACAAGTCTTGTAGCCCAGGCTGGCCTCAAACTCTTGATGATCTTCCTGCCTCAGCCTTCCAAGTGTTGGGATCTCTGGTATGTGCGACCATGCTCAGTTCAGAGCTTCATTTTCAATACAGAACCAGGTACTCAACCTCCTAGCAGAGCAGAGATGACTGGCTTTCAGGCTGAGTTTAGTTTTCTTTAAAGTACTGTGCAAATGACAGCACAGAAGATGTGTGAAATAAAACACTGCAAGTTCCTGGTGCTCTGGCCTGTGTCCACTCAGCAGCTGGGAAAGAGCAGCAGGCCTATGTCCCCAGAAGCAGGAGGGGCCTGAAGTCTCTGCCTCTGTTGGCTCTAGACTATTGTTCACCACTCCCCAGTCTCCCTGCTCCTTCCCTCAAGGTTCAACAAGTACAGCTGGACATGTTCCTTATCAACCCTGCCAGCTCTAAACTGAAACTGGAGACTACCTGATTTGTTTACTAAGTTTGCAGGACTGGGTGTGGAAACCAGGATCTCCCATGTGGTAGGCAGGGTGCTACCACAGAGCTGAGCTTCTGGCCCAGAAATGAAGTTTAAAGGTAGGTCTTGTTTTTCTGAATGCAATGCAAAGGGCCTGAATAGTACCAAAGTCCTGTGCCCCACAGGGTCTTCTCAGGAGACTCTAGAGGTGGCCAATGTTTTAGAAGGCCGCAAGTCTCAGGGTGGACAAACACAAGGCTGCTCCATAGGTGCCTGAGCTGGGTCTACAGTAAGCCCTTTAATGCTCTTAATAGCAAAGCTCATGCTTGGTAAGTGTGTAGCCAGGTCAATCCCAAACAACAAAAGCAAAAGCAAAAGAAAAAAAAAAAATAAAGTCACCCCTACAAGGCCAGGTGTGGTGGCACATGTCTATAGGTTCAGCTGCTGTGGAGGCTGAGGCTGAGGCTGAGAGAGGATGATGGCTTGAGTCCAGGAGCTAAAGCCCAGCGTAGGCATCAAAGTCAGACTCTTTCTATCTATCTAAAACAGCAAAATAAAACACATCCAAACAGACACCACCACATTTACCACACATTACAGTGGACTAACCTTCTCCCCATCTGGCCACCAGCAGGCTAGTGGTGTGGTGAAAACAAGAGGTGACCACATGGGAATAGCATCCCGCTCTGATCCGTCCACACCCATTGTCTCCCTTGGACTCACCTCCTCAGCTTTGGAGAAAGCAGGCAGTCACTCTGCAGTTAAGAGGCATACAACAAAAGCAGCTCTGGTTCTACACGCACAACCTGCCGAAACTCTGACACTCTCTGAGGGAAGGACTGTCACTGTGCCTCTACTTTCCAGGGCAGACACAGCTACCATATGGCTCGGTGAGAGACTTGCTTATCAGCAGTAGAGCTGTGTCTGACCTCCCACCAGAGTGCCCCAGAGGTGCTGGTTTCAAACACACAGACAAGAGGGGATGTCTTCACAAGGGTCTCACCAGGAAGCAGCAGACATCGATGAGCAGGACAGTGGGGATGCCTCCGAAGGTGACCCCCTGGAGCACGGTGCTATTTTTGGCAGAGTTGTAGCAGTAGGAGTCATTGGGTTTGTTCCTGAGGCCCAGTCGCTCCCGGAGGGACACAGTCTTGGGCCACCACAGCTCCAGGAATGGGGATTCAATCATTGCACCTCCCCCTCTGCAGAACAAGATGAGACAGGTAGTCAGCACGCAAAACTTCTCCGTTTCCCCAGTCAAGAGTTGGTGACTTCTGGGCTGTGGGGTGCAGGATCCAGAAGCACAGAACTGGGGAAGAGCTGAGCACTGGACTCCATGTGCTGGCAGAATGAGGGGACAGTATCCTCATTATGAAAAGAGCTGAGATGCTCAGATGGATCAAGCAATGGCCCACCCAGGACAGCACAGGGACACCCCAGTGCGGGTGAGAAAGGGAAGTACAGAGTTGGTGGGGCTCCTGACTGAGAGAAGCTGAGGTTGCTGTAGCCTCAGGACTGCTGCCACAGGGAAACAACTTCCTGTGGGAGCCCCAGGGGCCCAGGGAACAGACTCAGATCACTGGAGGCCCACCCAAACCTCAGGCAAGATGTTGCTGTTCTGAGAACGCCACAGCTGGGTCTGGGAGAGGGGCCCACAGGCACGCTGGGACCAGGGACCTGTCCACCATATGCAGCTGCTTGAAGCAAGGCTTGTCTCCAACAGCTCTTTGCCTAGGACACCTCTTCCTCCTGCCATGGATAGCACAGCAAATTCACTGAGAGCCCGGCAGGGAAGGGGGCACCCAGAGGGTAGAAAACAGAAGCAGTTGGGGGGCACAAAGGGCAGGCAGAACCCACTTCAGCCCCTCATTCTGGTGCCTTTCTTCTCAGAGGGTCAGCATATCTGGAACAAACTTTGTCTCAGGCTGGGTGCTGGACTGTCCTTCTGGCCCTGTAGTGTCTATCCCCTGGCTGGGACTCAGAGCCCAGGTTCTCCCCTGCCTCCATGCTGTGGCTGAGGAACCAGGGGAATGTGCAGCCCCTCTCCTTTAACTCCACCTCCCAAGCCTGATTAACCCAGATTTCTTGTTAAGTTTGTTCTTTCCCTCAGGGGTGAGGAAGAAAAGTGTGGGGAGCCAAAGCAGAGGCCCGGGATTCCCAGAGACGCGATCTCATATTCCTGGTGTGGCCTAACTCCTACTGACTCTGCACTTGCCCAGCTGAAGATCCCATACCCCCACACACAGGATGTGCAGAGATGAGGGTTGCAGCCAGAGCACAGCAGGGCTGCCCAGGAAGCCAAGTCACTGTCACGTGGTGGGGCATGACCATGGAACCAGACTTGGGCAGCTCCCAGCAGTCACCTCTAGGACAGAAATTCTTGGTCTCCCCCTTTCTTTAGACCACGCCCAGGGCACCACCTCAGGGGACAACCCACCCCAGCAATGTCAGGACACTCCTGCCCCCCTTTCCTGATCCCACACCGACCAGTCATGGGAGGACCAAGGACAGGTTGTTGGAGAAGTTGCCGGAGTGAGTTGTCTCCAGTGACAGCAATGGCAGCCTGTACCTTCAGCCACAGCACCAGGCTCTGCTGCCACCCACATCCTTTCAGCTTCCCTAACTCGATGGCCTCAGCCTGTCACTGGAGCCACCTTCCTCAGGCTAAAAGGGGTTCTAGGTTAAGACATCCTCCGTCCTCACCCTGACCAAACATCTCTGACCAAATGTTCTGGTTTTGCCCTAGAGGTTCCTTTCTGCCTTGGCTCTCCCCTAAACTCCCAGAGCAGGTCCCCCATCCGCTGTGCTCCAAGCCCAGCACCCAGAGGCCCAACCTTTTCCCTTCTCCAAGGGCCCCACACCCTGCACTGTGGCTGTGCCCAAGCAAGGCCTCACACAGTTTCCGGGCTGCTTCTACACCCTAATTCCTTCGAGCCCTAGAAGCAGAGACAGAACACAGCAGAACAAAGATGGCTTGCACAGTGGAGTGGAGAACAACCACCCTCATAGGATGCTCATGGAGCAACCTGGTCTTTGGTCTCTGGAAAGGGGAGCTTGCTCGGTGCGGGGGGGGGGGGAAGGTGTGGTAGGCAGTGCTGTGTTGCTTTGTGTTTGGGTTTAGGACAGTCAGGGGGGAGGCTGTTTCCCTTCATCTGCTGCCTAGTCGTACCTCCAAGGTATTGCTACACTTAGTGTGTGTAGTAATCAAAATTTGCTAAGAATTAACAGTCAGTCAGCAAGCATCCAGCCTGGCCTGCAGTTCCAGGTGGGCCTTTGGGTCCCCTTACCCAGTTGGCCTACCCTGTGCCCTCTTTGGGTGAGGAAAAAGGTGAGGGTACAGCTTGCAGCCCAAAGTTCCTCAGGGTCTTCCAGCTCAAATCTTGGCTGAGAAAGGCAAGAAGTCAGATCCTGGTGAAAGAAACATCCCTGTCCCTGCTCTGAAGGGAGGTCCTCGGTCTGCCCCTGTGAGAGGGCAGGTGGGGCACATCTGCAGGGCCAGCCCTGCTAGAAGAGAGGTGTAGGGGCTAGGCCAGCAATCAGGGCCTGGGGGTGTAGCCTGCCTAGCACATGAAAGGCCGGGGTTCCATACTCAGTATCACAAAGAAAATCTTTGAAAAGGCCCCCAAAACAGCCTAATATCAACTTCCTCTTTTTAAGTCTGCTAAGCCACAATCAGGATAAGTTTGCACAGCAAGCTCTAGGGATCCAGAACTGTCACCTCTGTGTAAGTCAGCCCTGGGCCTAAACAAGACCCTGAGGGTGAGTGTGAGAGCACACTGTGCAGTTGTTTCACTCCACAGAGACCCAACACTTACCCAGTATGTGCCTTGGTGCCCTCGATGAAACAAGTGCGAGGATGCTGCCATGGCCCCCTTGTGAGATGGCGTCAAGCACTGGGCCCTGTTTACACTGGGACATCTGACTACGCAGGCCCCGCCCCATGTCCTCTCTGGGGGATGGCTGGGTTCCAGCCCTGAGCAGAGAAGTCGTGAAAGCAACAGGAGGTCTGGTTTCTATCTCAGACTGAAGGTGGAGCAGGCTGAGCTGAAGGGGGGACAGGCGGGGCAGGAAGGAGGTGTGTGTCCCTTGCTAAGGCAGTCTGTTAAGTCCCACCAAGAAGGGCTGGTACCCACCAGGCGTCCTTGTGCCTGCACGGCCTGACCTGCTCCTCTGAATAACTTAGTCATTTATAATACCGTGCCCATTTGGAACTCCCAAGCCTCTGCCAGCGCCTCTGAGCCCTGGAGCTGTGGACGCTCAGGGGACACCCGCGAACAGAGGCGCGACTCCAGACGCTGGCGGCAAGCTTTCCCTGCCCGCGCCCCAGAAGCGAGGAGTGCGCCTCTCGAACTGGAGAGACCCCATTCGCACCGCACCGCGGCCCAGAGCAGAGCGCGGGCCCGGAAGTACGGTCATCCGCCGACCCCGACCCCGACCCCGACCCCCAACCCCGGTCGCTCCGGGGCGCCCCAGCGGGAGGCTTTCCTACCCGTGAAAGCGCACTTGTGCAGTCGCGCGCGGCCAAGTTCGGACGGGGCGGGCGCGCAGGCGCAGCGCGCGGGCGGAGTCCCAGGCGGGGCCGCCAGCATTTTCCGGTTTCAGGCTGTGAGATCTGTCTAGGCCAGTCCTCAGTTTCCAGTAGAGCTCGACCGCAGAAGCAGTCGCGAGGCAAACTGAAGTGGCTAGCACACTTGGGAACTGGTTTAGGGTTAGAACGTGGCGCACAGGCCGTGTACCTCGGAGCAGACCGGAACGTGTTCTGGGTGCCCAGCTCGGGTCTCTGCATTCTGTTCTCAGCGCACCCCCGGGTTTCTGACTTCTCTTCCACGTGTGGTCTTTCATGTTTTACTCCTGCTCTAAAAGAGCCAATACACATGGGGAAATGGTGGGTTTCTGATGAGGCCTCTCATCTCCTTGAAGCCAGTTTTGAATAAAGTCTGTTCCTTTTTTCACCCAATTGGTCCCTTTGATTTGGCCAAGTCTGATCAAACCTTGGTGGCTGGTAACAATTTTGGTGCAGCCACCCACGGGTAAGTGAGTCCTGGCTTCTGAATGTCTTCATTTTCTGGTTCCATCTAGGGAGGAGGCAGGCACTTGGGAAAAAGGACCGACTATAGGAACATTAAAGTAGCTGCAGGGGACAGCCTTTTACCCTGGGAATTGTCCCTTTCCAGTTTGTGGCATCAGTTTCAGTAAACACTTTTGGCTTTTGTTTGGAGAGAGAGTCTCACTGTTTAGCCCAGGCTGGCCTAAACTCACTGCAGTGATACTCAGCCTTGCAAGTGCTGGGATTACAGATGTGTGTCATCACACCTGGCTCTAAACACTGTTATTGGTGAAAGGAAAAGGTTGTCTACGGAGCCGATGGTGTCTGGCTGGTTTCACACTCCAGAGACCTACTTTTTTTCCACCGTGTGATGGGGATAAAGGAATAGCCATTTAGATCTTCCCTTGGGTCATTCAGTGGTTTCTTTGGAATGAAGATTATTTGGGATCACTTGAGGGTTATCTGAATTTACTACAGGTCATTTTGGGTACTGACTAGTGTGAGAAGAGATTCAGAGGTAGAAAAAAAATTCTAGGGACTTGGTTTGTCGTTTTGGAAGGCTCCTTTAGTTTGTTTGGTTTCTTTGATCTTTTTCGTTTTATAACTGCCTTTATTTCTGAACTTCAGTACCATCTAGGAGCCTCCTGGCTGCATACTGAGTAACTCAACAAATAATCACCAGAATACTATGACAAAGAAAAGGTGATACAATGTACTGTTGTGACACTGCATGGCCTAAGTATGTGTTAGACTCTGGGGAGAGGTCGCCATCCAATGGTTCTTTAAATTACTACACCACTTTGCGTTGCTGTCATTGTGTGAAAATCAGATAAATAAGGATGAAATTCTTTATGTTCAGACGTTCGTGGTTTTGAATCATGAAGACCCTAGAAAGGAAGGTGCAGCAGGTAAAGTGCTGGTTCAGAGAAAAAGGAAGGATTCCCCCCGCTTCCAGATGATAAAACTCCAAATGAAAAGGAAATTAACTTTTTATATATTTATTTATTTGGTCTTCTTGAGACAAGGTCTCACTGTGTGGTTCAGGCTGGCATTGGGCTCACTTTGTAGCCTAAGCTGTATCAAACCTGCAGTGATCCTCCTGTCTCAGCATCCTGAGTACTGGGATTACAGGAGTGTGCCA